GAGGATCTGACTCAGACCCTCACACCCACTGAGGCTCGTCCCCACCAGGCCGTGTATTTCAGCCATGTTTCCTGTGCTTGTGTCCTCAAACCCAGGAAGTTCCATGCGGCCTGGGTGAGCGCCCACTAAACGTTTGCCTTCTAGGAAACCCAAGGCCACAGGTCTCAAAAACCTCAGGAAGCAGACAGTCTGCCAGACTTAGTGCAGACACCTGTAACCCCAGCTAGGCTGGGGGTTGCAAATCCGGGGCCAGCCTGGAAAATTAGTGAGATCCTGTGTCACGTGAAAATCAAGGAGACTGGGGACGGGACTCGGTGTCAGAGTGCTTCCCTGGCACACGAAGGCCCTGGGTTTGATTCTCCAGGACTAGGGGACGTGCTGTAGGTGGCAGTGGCCCTATACTCTCCTCGGGCAGCAGAAGCGGGGAGATCACTGTGGCTTCAAGGCCACCCTGGATTGCATAGTGGGGTTCAGGGCGGCCAGAGCTGCCTGTGAGACTGTGCTCAGACAGACAGACATTAACCGTGGTTATCTGGAGGAGACGCGATGGCTTCTGCCTACATCGACCGCATATTACTAGCTAGTAAGTAGATTTCTCTTCACTGCTGTGTATTTTGAGAACATAGGCTACAAGTTGTGGCACTCAGTCTCTTAGACAGGCCTGCAATCCAGATGCCACTGAGCATCCAGTGGCAGGAAGCACCTGTGGATACTGTGACTGCCTATCGCTTCCTTCTCACAGATGAGCTCTCCATGGGATTGGGCCGACTCAAGGACATCGCCTTAGGAATGCAGACGGAAATTGAGGAGCAGGACGACATTCTTGACCGGCTAACAACCAAAGTGGACAAGTTAGATATCAATATAAAAAGCACAGAAAAGAAAGTTCGGCAACTATAAAGAAACTGAAAAGGAATTCTCCTCCGTGGTGATGAAAAGATTCAAAAGCCTCTTTTAAACTCCTAAGAAATGTCATTGATTACACAGTATGTAATTAACATGTGTGTTCAGATGTGGGTCTTAAGAAATTTTAGTTTCAATGGGAAAAAATGTGTGTGTTCCACAGTTTGGTAAGATCGGCATGGCTACACTCTGTGAGCTGCTCTGAGTCGTAATGTAAACATGGCAGACCAGTTGTGAGCGCCTTGAGCCTTCGATTACTGTGCCGACAGAGAAGAGAACATGGCATTTTTTTCTTTCCAGTGTCTGCAAAGCTGTGGGCAGGATCGTAACGGCTGCCTCTGCTTACTCATTTGCTGAGTCTCTCACTCCAAGGCCTTACTGTGAATTCAGATGTGAAGGGACCCTGGGTTTGTGACAGAAGGAAGGCTCCTCCCACATGTTCATGTCAGTCATTGTTGACACTCCTGCACACACACTGAGTACAAAGGACCCATGAGATCCAGAAGTGGGATGTGTTGCCTTCGTTACTCCGCCTGTCCATCCATCCCGTGTCCGTCCCCCGTCGTCGTCAACCCCCACCCACCCGTCCCCATCCCTCCCCGGCTCCCCGTCTTCTCTTCTTTTCCTTATTTCAGTAGACGGATTCAGACCAGGACTGTTGGACACGACACCTGCGAGTGTGCGGAAACCGATGAGCCCTCCTTCCCCACCTACTTACTGTCGTCTCATACTTTCTGCTGGGGACAGCTTTTCTCCACTGGCTCAAGGCCAACCAGTTGGCCCCTGTGGAGTTTGTGGGCCTGGAGTATCACACAAACACGAACCTCTCCACTGAGGCCTCTGCCTGGGGAATAGTACCAAGGCAGTGTTTATTTGGTGCCTGGGGTCCCCTCATCCACCTGGGACCCCACCCATTCTCTGTGTTACCACAAAGTGCCCACCTGGTTTGAGGAGTAAGATCCCCAAATGATGCTGATCTTCTATGAGACGACTTGACCAAGAAGAAGCCCAGGTACCATTTTAGCTAGCTAGTTCATTCCCTTCTTCTTCCAAAAGAAAATATCTAGACGCATTAATTAAAGTTGATTCTATAACAATTTTTCCTTGTGTTGGTACTTCCAATAAAATCATTGACGCCATAGAGCACTTGACTATCTTAAAATCAAATTCACATATTTTGAAGATGGTAAAGGGGACTGTTTTTTACTGGTAAGGTAAAAACTAAAATGCCAGTGCCTTTTTGCCTTGAAACATGGCTCATGTGCCATTTTGGGATCCTTTCTTTAGCATCTGGAGTCTATAGATCATAAGCAAAGCGTGCATGGAGCTGTGGTCATGGCTCAGTGGTCGAGTCCCTGCCCTTCTCTCTGGGGGCCCTGGGTTGATCTCCACCACTGGGGAGAGAAACTGAAAATGGTAACAGCATGACTACTGTTCCTGTAGCAACTTGTACACGCTCCTGTCACAAAATACCCAACCTTCCGGGAAATACAGCCACCATAGGCAAAAAGGGGTGCCAATGTCCATCTGTCCCTAGATCTGAAGATCTGACTATGGGGGACCTCTGAGCTCAAGGACAGCCAGGACTGTATACCAAGACTCTGTCTCAAAACAATAGAGAGACCAACCCATCTGTTTTCAACTTTTCTATAACTGTTGCTTTTTTATCAGAATCGGGCATAGCCTTGTGGAATTAATCATTACACCTCAGTCCTGAGAAGTTAACATCTGAGAATGCCTTCCATTGGCAGCCGAGTGTCAGATTCAGCTGACTTGAAGCATACGAACATTATGCCCCTTCCTTTGTTTTGTTAAGTTAATGAAGCCAATCTCTCTCCTTTTCCAGTCTTTAACTCCATGATGTGAAACCTGTCTTCCTTCTGTTGTTTAGCATCTGAACCGTCAGAGGGCCTCAGCCGTTTTGTTCTGTTCTTCAGACCTGGGCTGTGCTCTGCTGAAATGGTCCCTGGGCTGGCCCAGACCTGCCGGTGCCAGTGCTGCCGTAGGAAGCAGGGTGGTTTTGGCATCGCCGAAAGAAAAGAGCCTGAGGAAGGTCCACAGTCCTTACCACGTGATAATTGTGACCAGATCTGCTGGCTGACACCTGCAGTCACAGCACAGCACTTAGGAGGCAGGAGGATTGCCATGAGCTTGAGGTTTACGATGAGATCTTTTTTCAAAAGAATCAATGGCTGTGGTGGGAAGAGGAAGAGATCACTACACTCTGGCCTGGGAAGGGTAGTGGCGGGGGACTACCCGCCACTGGAGTGAGCATCCCATGTCGTAGAGCAGACCAGTGAGCACATCCTGGACATGAGGTCTGCAGACAGACGGAAACAAACTGCCTTCAGAAGGGGACTAAAATAAGTGCATTCTCCTCCCTTCTAACATGTACTGACTTGTAACTTAGCAGCACTAGAGTGACCTCAGGAATTGTTTTTCCTCATTCTGTAGGAGAGGCCTGAGTTCATTCACGTAATAAGTAAAAAACGATAGCAGTGCATTTTAATTTCCCTTTCTCCTCATAAATGTGTAATTTTAAGTGTATAATGTGTCACTTTAGTAAAAATTTTCTACTTTGCCTGAATAAGCCTTTTTCTTCAGGTGTGTGTGAGAGAGAGAGGGGAAGAGAGAGGGGGGGGGTTGCCCACCTTGTCTCTCACTGGCCTGGAATTCAACAGCAAACCCCAGCTGCCTCTTTCTCCTTCCCTGGTGCTGGCATTTGAGGCACATGCCACCGTACTCCGCTTTCTGACATGTTCGTAAGATCTGTGGGTTAGGTAGTTCTGGTCCCCATGCTTCCATTGCAAAGACTTGACCAACAGAGCTTACCCCTCTCCAGAGCTACCCCTCTCCAGAGCTGCCCCTCTCCAGAGCTACCCCTCCCCAGAGCTACCCCTCTCCAGAGCTGCCCCTCTCCAGAGCTACCCCTCCCCAGAGCTACCCCTCTCCAGAGCTGCCCCTCTCCAGAGCTGCCCCTCTCCCAAAGCTACCCCTCTCCCAGAGCTACCCCTCTCCAGAGCTACCCCTCTCCCAGCCCTCGTACAATTTTTTGTTTGTTTTTTTGTTTCTTTGTTTTTTGTTTTTTTTTCCCCCCTGAGACAGTGTTTCTCTGTGTAACCCTGGCTGTCTTGGAACTCTGTAGACCAGGCTGGCCTTGAACTCAGAGAGATCCACCTGCCTCTGTCTCCTGAGTGCTGGGATTAAAGGCGTGCACCCCCATGCCCGGCTGTACGGTATTTTTTGAAGTTTATTAATATTGTTAAGCATCATCAACTCCAGTGAATGAACTGTGTTATGAGCAAAGTGGCAAACTACCAGGGAACACAATAGCACATTCCTGTTGTCCCAGCATGTGAGGAATGGAGGCAGGAAGTTAGGATTCAAGGTTCTCCAACTACCAGCAAGTTAAAGGCCAAACTGAGCTTCATGGGACCAAGTCTCAGTAAAAGGAAGAGAGGTGAAGCCATAGGAGCTGAGCAGTGTCTTTGTCCACCAGATCAGCTCTGTCCTCCACCCTTCAGCTTAGAAGATAAGCATCGTCCTTGAACCTACGCCCTAAGTGTTGCTGTCAAGTCATGGGTGGAGGGAACCGTTGTTGGTAAATCTTAGTGTGTTTGGTCCTTGAGGCCCCATTTAGGAACCCTCAGAGTTGAGGATAGCCAAGGGGTAAACCATGTGTTTAGCACATATAAGGCCATGGGTTCCATCACCAACACCACTACAACCAAAAGATAAAAACAGGTCAGAAGCCTAAGGTCATTAGAGCGTGTCCGTCTGTTAGTTATCTCACCCCTCCGCAGGAAGATCAAAGCCCAGCAAGCATCTGAATTTGGGAGCTGGAGAGATGATGGAGTCATTAAGAGAACTGGCTGCTCTTCCAAGGGACCCAGGTTCAATTTCCAGCACCCATGTGGCAGTTTACAACCATCCACAATTCCAGTTTGAGGAGATCTAATACCCATCTGGCCTCCACAGGCAGCAGACAGACATGGTACACAGACATACATCCAGGCAAAACATACACATAATTTAAAAAAAAAAAAACCTGAATTTGTACCCAGGCATGGTGATAAACACTTTAGTCCCAGCACTGGAGAAGCAAAGGCAGGAGGATCTCGGTGAGTTCGAGGCCAGCCTGGTCTACAAAGTGAGTTCCAGGACAGCCAAGACAGACAGAGAAACTCGGTCTTGCAAAACAAAAATGAAAAACCCTGAATTTTTTATTCCCTAGCTGTCTGCCTCAGTAAATTCTGCCACCTCCATCTAGTGCAGTGGCTCAGGACAGAATCCAGAATCACGGTTTCACTGCACTAAACACTGCAGATGAGGTCATGTGTAGAGCTCACGGCTCTGGAGGCTGGGGGTGGGGCGGCTAGGTTGGAAGGGGTCACGCCATCAGGGCCTTTAAAAAAGAAAACAACTGCGTGTGTGCTTGTGTGTGTGTGTGTGTGTGTGTGTGTGTGTGTGTGTGTGTGTGTGTGTGTGTTCTTGTGTCCCAGAACACAGGTGGAGGGCAAGGACAACTTTCAGGAGTTAGTTCTCTCCATCATGTGGGTCCCAGAGATCAAACTCAGGTGGTCAGGCTTGGAGGCAGGCGCCCTTACCCACTGAGCCTGCTCTCACCAACCTGAGCGATTCAAGCCCATCGACCAAATCGTCTCTGTAGTACAGTTCAACTCTAATAGTAGCACAACCCCCCCAAAAAAAGAAAATACACAAATGAGAGTGCCTGTGTTCCAACTGTCAGTGTCACGGCTCCCGGGAAGACAGTTTCCTCAGGGAAGGGCATCCTGGCAATTGGGAGCCAAGGAATACCACAAAGTCACTCCACACACCAGTCCTCACACAGAGATTAGGAGGGAAAAATCCAGGAGAGTGGCTGCCTCTGTTCAGGTGAGAAGCAGCAGAGAACTGAGCAGAACACAGGGTTTGTATAGGGTTTCTTGTGGGGCGTGGATTTCCAGGGTAGGGATTGGTGGGTTTTCGGGTCCTGAGCCTGGGCTTTTTTCTCTGTAGGGCAGAGCTTGGCTGCCTGTGTCTGGAGGGGTGGAGCCACTCACGTGCCTCCAGGGCCTTACAACAATCAAACATTTATGAACATTGAACATCTGAATTTTATGTCATCAACTGTTGTTTGTTTTCCATCCACTTAAAAGTATCAAATCTTAGCCAGGCAGTGGTGACACACACCTTTAATCCCAGCACTCAGGAGGCAGAGGCAGGCAGATCTCTGAGTTTGAGGCCAGCTTGGTCTACAGAGAGAAACTCTGTCTTGGAAAAACAAAAACAAAAAAGAACTAAAAAGTAACTGTTTGATACTACTTGGATCATCTAAGCCAAGCTTGATGGTACATACTTTCAACCCCAGCACTGGGGAGGCAGAGGCAGGTGGGTCTCTGAATCAGGCCAGCTTGATCTATAGAGTGAGTTTCAGGATAGCCAGGGTTACACAAAGAAACCCTATCTCAAAAACAAACAAAACAACAAAATGAAAAAGAAGGAGAAGAAAAAAGAAAAGAAAAGAAAGAAGGAAGGAAGGAAGGAAGGAAGGAAGGAATCTGACAGGTATGCCCAGTCGTTTGTGTTTTAGTTAATTCCAAATGTAGTCAGGTTAACAACCAAGAATAGCCAGCACATCCTGTCCCAAAAAGGCAGGGAATCATCTAGAGTACCCTCTTCAAGGCTCAGGGAACGTTCAGAAGAGGAGGTGGTAAGAATGGAGGAGCCAGAGGATGGGGAAGTGTGTTGCAGAAAGGTATGTTCTGGATGTGACATGACTCGCCCTCATTCATCACGGAAGGGGGAGAGCTCCCGAGACCTCATCCCTCCCTGAAGGACCACTGATGGCTAGGGAAGGATGTCCCTCTCCATTGCTGTAGCTACTGAGAAGTTGTTGTGCTGGCTTTTGTCACCTTGACAAAAACTAGAATCAGCTGGGAAGAGAAAAGCCCAATTGAGGGTTTGCCTGTACAGACTGACCTCTGGACCCGTCTGTGGGGCATTTTCTTGATTAATGGTTAATGCGGGAGAGCCCAGCCAACTGTGGGCAGTGCCACTCCTGTGAAGCTGGTCCCTGGTGGTATAAGAAAGTAAGCTGAGCAAGCCATGAAAGCAATCCAGTAAGCAGCATCAGTCTGGGGTCTCTGCTTTGGCTCCTGCCTCCAGGTTCCTGTCATGGCTTCCCTTGATGATGGACTGTGACTTGGAAATGTAAGCCAAATAAACTCCCTCATCCCCTAAATTGGCTTTGCCCAGGGCTTTTATCACAGCAACAGACACCAAACTAGGGCAGTTGCCCATGTTCCAGTAAATAGCCTCCCATCCATGCTCATGCAAGCAGCCCTAATTAAAGTCAGTGGTCACACTCTTAAAAGAACACTAAGTGGGGGCTTTGAGGGAAGACAGGATTTCAGCAGGAGTAGGAAGGGGAATGAGGGGGAATAATAATGAAAAATTACTAAAATTTATTATGCATGTATGAAACTTTCAAATAATAAAAAAAAAATGTTTGTTAGCTGGGGAGTGGTGGCGCACGCCTTTAATCCCAGCACTCGGGAGGCAGAGGCAGGTGGATCTTTGTGAGTTTGAGGCCAGCCTGGTTTACAGAGCGAGTTCCAGGAAAGGCGCAAAGTTGCACAGAGAAACCCTGTCTCAGAAAAAAAAAAAAAAAAAAAAAAAAAAAGTTTGTTTAAAAAAAGAAAAAAGAACTGAAGAGAGTCATGCTGTGGAATAATCTCATACATTGTAAAATGTGTAGCTCTCATTGTTAATAAAAAGCTAATTGGCCCATAGCCAGGCAGGAAGTATAAGCCAGACAATCAAACTAAGGAGAGGCAGAGTTTCAGAGGAAACACCAGCAGATGCAGAGGAAGCAGGATGTGTAGAAAATGAGGTTACAAGCCATGAGCCACGTGGCAGAGCATAGATAAGAAATATGAGTTAATTTAAATGTAAGAGTTAGGTAGTAACTCAACAAGCCTGAGCTGTTGGCTGAGCAGTCATAGATCTCTGTGAGTTTTAGGCAGCCTACTCTTAATATAGCCAATCCCAGGCCAGCCAGGACTACATAGAGAGAACCTGTCTCAAAACAACAACAGAAAAAAAAAAAAAAACTATAGCTCAGGGTTGGTAACACAAGGCCTTGGGTTCAAGCCCCAGTACACTCCTAGAAAGGACTGAGGAGATGTGGTGGTCTTAGATACTGCATCTGAAGGCAGCATCATAGCAGAAGAGGTAGCTTTTGCCACAGGAATGCACTCACAGTTCTGCAGGCTGGTTTCCTCAGAGCAGAAGGATCCCGCCCCACACTCCTCTCTGCTTTGGATTTTCTTTACCCCTGTGGTGAACTTTTACTTGTTTTTCCTATTTATACATCTTACAAACCCAGTTCACATGCTGGGCTAACTCATCCAGCTCTGCTAAGGCCCCTTACTTCACAAAGGCCATGTGAACCGTGGGACTTGCCAAAGCCACCAAAGCTACATCCCAGCCCTAGCATCCTTGATAAATGGACTTTTTTTTTAACCTCTTGTATGAAGAGTCACATCTGGCCCCTTGAGCTGGGTATCAAATGCCACTTTTCCT